GGATCCGGGCGCCATCCAGCAAATGTTTCAGTTTTTCGGACTCTGTAAAGGACACGAATTGTGATCAGGCAGTTTCCCCGACTCTAATGATTTGGTTGCGGAATCGCTATTACTTCTCGCGACCATTCAGCATTTCTCTGTGCACTCATGGTCGTTGCTACTCAGAAACGCATCGCTGTTCCGGGTGAGAAACGTGTGATTACTGCTCGCTGCATTTCTGATCGTTTTACTTTAAAAAAAAAAAGAGGAATAAAATACGGTGGCGCCAAAATTTTCAGTTTTTTTTTGATTTCATTCGTTTAAAAAGGAGATAATTTTTGCCTCTACTCAGTTTCATTTATTGATTCTTCGCGACTACAGTTTTTTGCGTTATTTCTTTTTGCACCATTCGGAGCAGCAAAATGAAGCCGTGTCTGTTGCAAACACCAGCAGAAAACTGGCGGATTGGAAAATGCGCGCTGCTTACGGAAGTAGCTTTAGGCAATATGCCAGGCATTCTTGCAAATCTGAGTACCCTAGTTGTTAATGTGGAACACGTAGTTCGCTAGTATAGAGGTTCAGCACAATGCGTTTGAATGTGAAAGCGAGAAGTCCGGTTCCCTCCATGTTCATACTTATTTGCAAAACGGAGACTCTATTTGCTGGAAAAAGCATTTGCGCATGCTTGTGGTATGTATGTATGTGGATATATGTGTATGTCTATTCGTGTATTTTATCACATAGTTCTACTCAAAGAACCACGAAAACTAGGAGAACTGAAAGTTTCAGTTTACCTTATGCATTGACCCCAAGAATGGATTCGCGGAGACTTTTAAAACTCGTTTTAAACGAGAAAGTTACAAGTTTTAAGTTTTAAAGACAGTCCAAAAGCCATATACGCTCCTCCAAAACTTGAACGAACTCACTTTCTCCGATCCTGTCCCGTGATCTCAGTTGCAGTACAGGCTAAACTAATAAATCCAAAACGAAGAAAGCTACGAATCTGAAACATCGTTACTTCTTTCTGTGATTATTTAGTCGCATTCTTCCATTGAATAAAATCTTATAACTGCATCAGTCCTCTGTTGTGGAATACCTCTAATTTGTTCATTTTGGTGCAATCAGAAGAATATGGCCGCATGGCGTGAAGGCCAGGATGAGACGCAAAATCAGCTTACGCGAAAAAGCAAAAATTCGTTGCAAAAACTGCAACGGGCTGTGGAATCTCAGTTCAGGATACGTGAAAATGCGATCCCCTCGAAGTTTCACTTTTCTGAAGAACTCATCCTTCCTGCTTCATTTGGTATTTTGGCTGCACAAAATAAGTGTGAACATTGAAATTCGTGAAATTTCTATAGCAGATTTTTTTTCCCGCGATAAATTTCTAGTTATCGTCGGAGATCGAGGAGCGTTAGCGCTGTTTTTTCCTGAAACTGCATCAGATAACCACATCTGAAGGTGTGTTTTCTTCTCTGGGGAGAAAATATCTATTGCAGAGAGTCCAGGTGAGGAGCTGTGCATGTGGACGAGCAGAAGAAGGTTTGTTGTTGATAAGTGACTGCCATTGGCGCTGATAAAAGTCGCGAGGTGTGGGTTTTGATCGTTGTACTTTGTGTTGCTTGGCGTTCCAATCGCAACTTCGCATATCCATCGATCCCGATGGATTGCTTTTTCTTCGCTCCCGAAATGAGCTACCTCCCTCCTCCTCCTCCTCTTCTTCTCGAACCACTAGCAGTGAGTGAAATTTTGCTCCTCCTTCGCAACCGAGTTTGTTTTTCCTCGCCATCACAAGTCTGTCCTTGCTTCCCCACACACTCACATCATTCCACTCCCCAGCCAAGCCTGTTCTTCGTTTCCCGCATCCTCACCCCCGGTTTCCTTCTGGTGTCGAAGGAAGCCGCTTTCTGCTCCATGGTAACTGATTCGGAGTGGTAACTCCATGGTAACTGATTCAGGCGCACCTACCCAGAAATCGGTACGTTTGCTTCAGCCGGTCTGGCGTATGCTGCTTGGGAGGAGGGGAAGGGTTC